CCCTAATAAAAGGTTAAAGTTGGCCTTGGAATTTATGACCATGAAGAGTGTCGTCCTTGAGGTAGTTCCCACAGCTAATTCGACTTGGACTACTCCCAGAATGTTGCTGGTTTTGCCTTCATAATTGGACAGAACCATATTGTGCTGCTTGAGGTCGACCTCAGTCTTGCCGATTCTCCGAAATATAGTGTGAGGCATTAAGTTAACTGCCGCTCCTCCGTCTACGAAGACTTTGTTTATTGTCATGCCATCGAGCTTCACCTTTATGAATAATGGCTTTAAATGGTACATCATCCCGGGTGTAGGTCTCTCGAACATGGCAGTCCTTTCCTCTACCATGCCGCTGTTCATCACGTAGTAACATAATGGCTTGTCCCCCATAGCTTCGTCTGGTTAGAAATCCTCTTCCGATTCCGACACCTCGGACACTCTATCATACTCCGCAGGGAGAATGGATATGATCCCGCAACTAACAATGAAGTCATCTCCATATGTGCTTTCATTTGTTTCGTCATACATGTCCAAATCCACGCCCTCTTATGGCAACGGAGTGTACTCTTCATCATCCGACTGGGGTGTATATTCTGGTTCACCTTCCTCTGCCGACGGGGTATATTCTAGTTCTTTCTTGTCAGCTGAGTTGGCTATAAATGTCGACCACTGTGTCAATGCTACTGCCTGGTTTCCCAAAACTTCTACGGTCATCGCTGAGGTTTGACTCGCCATTACTTTTTCCTTTTTTACCCATATGGTTCTTGATGATTGATCCTTCGATTCAGGATTTTTAGCCTGGCGTAGCTGCAAGGTTGACGCTTCCCTAGCCGCCTTCTTATTTCGCTGATGTCGTCTCTATTGGGTTCGCGTTATCGGGTTCTTGCCTTTGTAATTGGGAGACACCATATAAACTTTTGACTCAGTATTCTTGACAGAGGCCCCAACCTCCTTTTCCACCTCTAAAACCTTCCACTTCGGCCTTTTGCTCCCTTTTTGGTTCATAGGGGCCATCCATTGGTCCGTGAGATATCTGACGGAGGTACAAAAGTCCTGGGTTTTTCAGGCTGGAACAGTCTCCGGTACTCTTGAGTGCGTCGAGGAGTGTCGTCCTTGTCGAATATGAACTTGGGAGTTGACATTTTGTCTGCCTTGACATGGTCCGCCGCTTTTTGGTCGAAAACAACATGACACCTGAGGCATAGGGCGGCTGTAGAGGCATTGATTCTGCATTTGTTCTGAAATTCTGCCAAACTCTCTCCAGCCTTAGGGTAGACTTCCTCGAAGTCCATCTTCATCTTGCTGTCGAAGCCTTCAGTAGCTTCGATCACCATGCAGTCTGCTACTTGTTCTTTGAGGCCATCAGTAGCCTTGATCATCATGCAGTCTGCTACTTTAGAGTAGAGAGCTTCTTCCATTTTCAGAGGATTCGTATCCACCTGCATTTTTGGTCGCTCTCCGAACTGCAATCTTCCTTTCTTCAACGCCTTTTGCACCAAATCCCTAAAAAGAACACATTGAGAAGTTTTATGACCAAGGAAGTTATGAAATTTACAAAATCCCCTATTTTTCTTTTGTTCTAGAGGGGGATCTTTTGCCCCAGCAGGGACGATATTTGACCATCTTTGACTAATACGTCAAATATCTCATTACACTTAGACACATCAAAAAATTATGTTTTCGCGATATACTTGTCCGTCTTTTTCGTTTCGACTGGATTTTTTCCGTTCGACGGCTTTGGGACCTTACACGCATATGGAGGTCTAGCGGTCAGCTCAACTACGTTAACATATTATCTTCGACGAATTCCTCTTCATCCGACGAATATCCGTCGGTAGCCATAAAGGCCACCTTTTCTTTCTTACGGCATCTACTGGTTTGTGATTTCTCATTTCTCAAACGTTCGACCTGTCGGACGCGGTCAGCCAGTTGTGCCATATCTCTTAAATATTGTGTATCTAGTTTTTTCCTAATGAAATAATCTAATCCTCCCGCCGCTATTTCGACTAATTCGTATTCGGGGACTTGTGTGAAGCAACACACTTTCAACAGTCGGAACCTATTCAAGTACTGATCTACAGATTCCACGGTTTTCCTTTTTACGCTAGCTAATTCCTTCAAACTGATCTTTGATTACGCCATATAAAATTGTTCATGGAACAATCTCTCTAACTGTGCCCATGCATGGACCGAATGTGAGGGTAATAAAGTGAATCATGTAAACGCATTTTTTGTGAGGGACCCTGGAAAATATTTCATTTTCAAATCCTCGTTATTCGCTATGTCCCCGGCCTCTGTCTGATAGCGGGCCACATGTTCGACAGTGGATTCCTCTGTCTCGCCCACAAACTTAGTGAATTTAGGGACTTTCCAACCCTTTGGTAACTCAGTTTGCAACACAAAATTTGGAAATGGGGACGTGTAGGCGGGCCGTCAAAGGCTAGGGTTCGCGCCATTTCGAACCATGATGCATTCTACCATGGCCTCCAGATTAGCTTCGCCTCCAAGGTTCTCATTTCTAACCTGTCGGACTATGTTGTCGGGATCTTGGTCCCTGCGGACCAAGATTATGGGGGGTCTCTGGGCCATCTGAGGAATCCGGTCAACCTCAGGGACTTGGACCTCTTCTTCGACGGGCTCATTTTGTCGACCCTGCGTGTCGGGATGATTTGGAGGAGTTTGTCCTCCCATGTTCCTAGGTGCTCCTAGAAAATCTCCTATTCGTGCCATCTGGGTGGCTAATTGTTGGTAACTATGCGTCGAGTACTGTATCAAAGGCCTTATAACGGTACCAATCTGTTGTGTTAACATATGTACCATATCGTGGTTACTTTCGTCCATCTGCTGACGCATAGCCGCGACAGAGCTAGTAGTAAATGTTGGTATCGCGTGGGAAACTGTTCCAAATCCTGGTGGCCCTCCTCCCTGCTGGGTCACAGGGCCTAGGCTTCTGTATGGCGAAAATGCGGAGGTTGAATTCTCTCCCCTGCCTAAGTGTTAAAGTTTGGGGGCCGTTGACAGTCGATCCCGGTTGTAGCAAGCCGTGCGTCCGTTCGACTGAGAGTCGCAAGTGGCGTGGTGCCAACGGTCGAAGTGACGGTTGTCATGGGTCCCGTGCCCAGCACCGCCCCTGGCGAAGAAGATATGTTTCCTTGCAAAGACGTTTCTTCGCTTGGTCGCGACGTCGCCATCTTTCCGCTACGTAACTACATACACCTAAAAACAGGGGTCCCACCAGATGTGCCAATTTGTTCATACGCGGTTTTCGCATGAACAACCTCTGGCCTTCCTACGCGGATTTGCTTGCGGGACTGGCCAAACTAGTCCCAGGACGGTTTTTAGTTTTAGGCGCGTTATTTGCTTGGATAATGGTGCACTTTCAATTTCAAAGACTAGGCACTGTAAAAGACAAGATTTTGGTGTATATTCTGATACAAAGGCTTAAATGCCTAAAATACTGGGTAAATTTAAAATATAACTTAAAGTAGACTGGAACAAGGACTTAAAGTAAAATGGAAAAGTACAGGAAAAAAGACATTTGGACGTATTCGTACATTTTGGAGTGACAAAGTGAACTCTTTTCTCTATAGCACGGTACTCAGAGTGTTTTTCTTCCAATACTGACAAAAGACACCACTCTCTCCTCCAAATTCTTGCTTTATATAGGCATATATAAAGTAACTGCCAAAGGGCTTCAGGATGCGCCACGTGGCACCCCATGTCTTTGGGAACTACCTCCACGTTCTCATTTCAAACGGGCTTCCCGCCAATCTTCTAAGTTCTCCTGTCGAGAGTGCTTTTAGCTGGCTTCTTCTCTGTGTCGATCGACACAGCTCTTGTCGATGTGCGCCCCCATACTGTCGAATCGGGGGTGATGTTGGTCGTATTTAGTATTGTCGACCTTCGTTCTTTATGCAGATGGTTAGTCGACTTCTTACCTTTTGTCGAGGTTAGTTGGCTAAGTCTTCAGCCAACAGGTTTATGTTTAATTTGCCACAATCATAGTTTTTTAGATAATTTGGAGGTTGTCTTATGCGTGGCATGTTCTAAGGCCCCCCCTCATTTGAGACTTCTTTTTCATTTTTACTTGATGATTATTTTTTAGAATCATTAGTGACTTCCTCATTCACGTCATATATGGATGCATGTTCTTTCTCTATACACTCACTATTAGTTTGACTTGTGTATTCAGACCCCTTAATGAGTAAATTTTCTAATAATCATTACTACAACATTAAAAAAAAAAATCAGTCACCACTACCACGTATCTAAAATTGGAGGAAGATTAAAAAAACTTAAAAGAAATAAAGTTGAGATTAAAATACTGAATTTTAAAATAAAGAAATTAAAAAATAAAAAATAGAAGAATAAAAAGTGTATTTAAAGTTCAACTATTTAAACCCTTTAAGTGTTAGTATTATTATTATAAACACCTTTGATTATAAGATAATGAAGCAACAACAAATGCATAATATTTATATACATAAGATTTATCCTCTCTATAGCTAAATCCGATTCACAAATAAATGTTTGTTTACTTTCCTGATCTACAACCGAAATGAACAATGAAACTTAAATTCTGTCCCCAATAAATTCAGATATATCCACCTCTCTCACATTTTGTATTAAAATCAAATTTTAAAAACTGAAATAGTCTTTTCCTCAAACTTGTAAGTTCTTTCAAATGCAGAATTTGCCTAATCCAAATTATTCTTTCAATTATTTAAATAAATCCAAATTTAATCAAAACCAAGTTTTTAAGATGCTACCTTATATCAAAGGTGAAGAATGAAAAGCCATTTTAACGTGTACTTAAAACACAAGAGAAGTGGATGACTTAAGAAGCATTTAATTTAATCCAAAGAAAAAGGAGAAAAGACAAATCAAACTTAGACAAACAAAAAATAGGAAACACCACCACAATTTCCTACACCAACCTGAAAATAATCACTTATTTAGTACGTACCATCTTCAAATTAAATTTTCATGCTAGCTCTTAAAGAAAAGCCATGAAAATCTCCAAAGAAACATGTTACTCTTCTTACACTAATCTCCTATGGCCATGCCAACCTCGTACGGAACAAAACCACATTGTTTTCTCCTACCGCTTTCGAGTCACCTGCACGGTGAGTCTTCTACTCTTATTCACCACCGTATACATTTTCTGGCCGTCGGATCCATACCTCAAGATCGTACGGTTGAAACTGAAGAAGATTAAGGTACACCGTGTGCCGCACATCACCGTAGACATCTCCATGCTCCTCACGCTGAGAGTGCAAAACGCTGACGTGTATTCCATGGACTTCGGTGCGGTTGACGTGGCCGTGTCTTATAGAGGGAAGCCACTAGGGCACGTGACGTCGGAGAACGGTCACGTGAGGGCTATGGGTTCTTCGTTTGTGGATGCTGACGCGGAGTTTTCCGGTATCGGTGTGTTGCCGGAGATATTGTTGTTGCTGGAGGATTTGGCTAAGGGTACTGTGCCATTTGATACGGTTAGTCAAGTTAGGGGCAAAATGGGGATTTTCTTCTTTCACTTTCCCATTAAGGTAAATCATTTTTTAATAATAATTAATAATAATTAGAGTTAGTTTATGGGTTATATTAAATTTAATATTAATGATGTAACATAACAGGCTAAATTAACATGCGAGGTTTTGGTGAGTATGATGAATCAAACAATTGTTCGTCAACACTGCACCTATGAGGTAAGCAATTACTACTGTGTTAATTATTTAAATATGAGAAAATAAAAAATGTGTGGATAATATAGCATATAAATTTGTTTATGAGTTAACTTCAGTGATGTGAAGAGAAGAGGAAAGCAAGAATGAAGAAGAGTTGGAAGATGTTGGTTACTTTGTATATATGTAGTAAGTATGTACTCACCCTTTCAAATATTCGTACCCCATTGTTTGTATTAAAATTACATATATAAGATTATGATTATTAGTGTAACAATGGATAAAATTAAACTTGCCAGAGATTTCCAACATACCACATTTATTCTAAAATACTTATTATTTTAGTTTACTAATACAATTCTAATTTTTTTTTTTTTAATTATACGCACTCATTAATATTTTTAATTTATTATTTTATAATTTTATATTAATGCTAATTCAAATACGTTAATAATTAATAAAAATAATTTAATAAAATTACTGTTCTTTTTTATTTATCACACATTTTAGTCTCTAAGTGTCCACTTATTTAAGATGAATGGCTCAAAATTGTTATGTCCTGTTTTTACTTTTATACGGATGATTGTGGTAAGTAAAGATGTTAGATTGGGCTAGCTCATATAAATCAGTCACTTTGGTTTGAAAAATTATAAGGTTTAGAATTTAAAATTAGAATTCATATTTTCTTGAGAGTTTTTTAATTTAATTTTTAAGAATCTACTATCTAACCTAGTCCATATAAACCGTGAATAGCCCATTAAATATATATAATTATAAATTTTATAAAAAATATATTAATTTTTATATTATTTTATTTTAAAATAATATATTAATTTTTTGACTTCACTAAATTTTATCTATATTCTATTCAATATTTCTATTTTAAATTTTATATATTAATATAATCAATACTTGTATTTTAGTAATTTCTCTTATGATAAATATTCAAATATTGTTTTATAGGATTTAAACATGTGTTGTATTTAAAAACATATTATAGTATTTATAAAGATAATATAATACTTAAAACAATATAATTTTTAATTTCATTTATGATAAATATTATAAAATTTTTATTTTTATTTTTTATTAAAAAAAAAAGCTCATTTAAGACCAAGTAATCTGAAACTTATCTAGGACTAGAGTAATCCGAAACTTATCTAGGACCAAACTCAGATAATAATTTTCGAATTCATATTATAACAGAGTTGTTTTGATCAAACTCTAAAAAATCTGAGATCCGTCAGAGGCTGTCGATTTTGGACTGGATAGACTATTTTGACAACTATAAACTATAGTGGTGACAATTATGGAAAAAATATAGAGGATTTATAGGGTGATAATCAATGTTATAAATTTCTTCTTCTAAATTTATAGAATAATTAATGTATCTTGTTATAATACAATTTAAATATATTAATTATTTAATAAATTTAAAAAATAATATATATATATATATATATATATATATATATATATATATATATATATATATATATATATATATATATATATATATATATATATATATATATATATATATATATATATATATATATATATATATATATATATATATATATATATATATATATATATATATATAATCAGAGGTAATATACTGTAATTGTTAGTCTTAAAGCTCTTTGATTTAGTTGGCTAAAAGTTATATTCTCTCTCATTATTATAAAAAATGTTTTATTTGTATATATCTTGATCTCAAAATAATTGTCCCTTTATAATATTAATATATTATTTATTATTATTTTTCTACTATTATATTTCTATTTATTAATTTTTATTTTATTATTCAACTACTCTATTATTTATAAGGCTTAATTGTAATTTTGTTCCTCTTCTTTTACTTTTTTTTTTTTAAATTGTGATCTCCTATTTTAATATTACAATTTTGGTTCATTTTTAAAATTTTTGTGTTGAATTTTAGTTCCAAAAATGAATCAAAGTCCAACACAAAATTTAGAAAATGGATCAAAATTATGATTTTTAAAATAGAGACCAAAATTTAACAAAAAAAAAAGCAAAATAGGGGAACAAAATTACAGTTAAACCTAATTAGAATTGATAAAAATATTCTAATAAATGATACACCCATCCTAAAATAATTGTCGTATTTATAAAAATAATTTGTCCCAAAATATTTATCACTTTAAAAAAATGATTTGTCCCAATATATTTGCCAGTTTATCTTTACCAATGCAATTTTAATTTTAATTTTTTAATATATCATTTAATTAATACTCTTAATGTATTGTTTTCTCACTTTGTATTAATATTAAGAGATTAATTGGAATACCCTGTCATCCAATTAGAATGAATTATTTTGACACATAATTATGAAATTAAAAATTAAAAATATTAAATTACAATTAAATAATTTTAATAGCTACTTCTTCCATGTTTCTCTCTTCTCACATGTTAAAACTACTCATTCTAATTGGATGACCATGTAAAATAGTTTTACACTTGACCGTGTATTTCAATTAATCTTTAATATTAATTTGAATATACCAATAATTGATAAAAATAATTTGGTAAAATTATTATTATTTTTTATTATATTTTTTAATCTATGTGAAAGTGTCAAGTATGACACTTATTTTATGACAAAAAGAGTATTAATTTTATGGGTCACGCTAACTAGTATTCTGGGACACTTGTTAAGAATTCTAAAAAAAAGAAAACATGTTATGTTCAGTTTATTGAATACACACAATATTATTTAAATAAGTTGAGCATTTCTGTTTTCAATACATTGAATACACATATATTTAAAAAAACATGTATTTTTAATCTCTTAAATAATGCTCAACATATCATTTTAATCTCTTAACTAGTGTCTCTGGAGCACTCGTCAGCATTCCTCTAATTTTATTATTAAAGTCAACACATCTATTTTTTTTTTAAGAACCGAAATATGTCATTTTTTTTAATGAGTCGGAGAAAATAGATAAGTTATAATAGATTTTCAGCATTTGACTTTTTTGCATCGTAAACTATAAATTGGCCCATCTATAATGTAAGAAAATTTAATGTCTTAGAAAAATCACTTTTGCCATTTCCTATAAAATTGCCACTTCATCGATTTGAGAATATTTTGTGTCCAAATATTGGTTTTTACAATAAAATTAACACTTCTAATGATATGGTTTACTATCAATTCCATTTACTTCCACTTTTTAAATAATAACTCCTATATGTACAACTTTTAGTTTGAAATAAACTTTATGATCTTCACTTTTCACCCATTTTCGTTTCCCAATGCAATTTTTGGACACCCACAAAATCGGTCCAAAATCTCTATTTTTACTTCTCTACCGACGCTTTCTTTTCTCTCTGTCACTTCATCCTCGCATTCATCTTTTCTCTCTTTGACTCCATAGCTCAATATTCATTTTATCATTCTTCAACTTCTTCAAAATCAACTCAAGCACATACTCAAACTTTGAAAGTATTATTTTCTATCTCACACAAACATGCATCCTTCTTTTTTCAAATTTTGAACAAGAAATTTGACTTCTCTCAAGATAGAAAATCTTCTTTTTGTTTATTCTTCTTCTTTTTTACATTGTTCTTCTTATATAATAATCTATTTTTTCCCTACTTTCTCAAACCCCTTTTCTGTGCAGAGTAACTCTCTGCCCACAACTGTGGAATTTTATTATCATTTTGCAACTGCAAAACCGTGATTATCAAACTTGATTAGTTACAATGATAAAAGATTCTTCTCTATTTATAGATTTAGATTAACTTACATTTCAAGGTAAAGCCCAAATTATAAAAACGCAAAAATATCTAATCTAATCTTTTTAAATCAAATGTGATCTTTCAAAATCAAATCTAATATTTTTAAAACAATGAATTATATATTTAATATTTTCTTAGTATTCATCTTTCCACTAAATATTGGGTTCACTTTAGTGCTCTCTATCTTCTTTGATGCTAATAAAGTGTAAGTATATCTCTTTTTTTTTCTCTATTTATTTTTAAAACTTTAAAAAATTACTTGTGTTTGGTTATTAAGGTGATTATGGATCTATAAGTTTGAGGATTTTTTTTATAACTTTTACTGGTAGATCTTTTTTTTTTAAGCTACAACGAAATTTGTTTTTCTCACAATTTTATAGACATGTTGTTTTTTGCATGTTTATTATATAATTTATAATAAAGTTTTTTCCTCCTTTAAGCAGAAGCTCAAAACAAAAACTGGAAAAGAGAATGAAAGCAAAACTATAAGTTGATATTTGAAAAAAAAAGAAAGTATTTTTTATATTTTCTATTCAATATTTTTATCATTCTCATTTGTTTCAAATTCAAAAACCGAATGATTTTGAACTGCATTTAGTTAAAATTTATTTTAATGGTACTAATTTCTCGGATTTGTTTTCTTCTGTTTTTATGCTTGGGTTAATTTTTGTATTTAATTTTTTTGCATTAGTTATTTTTAAATAATAATTTAGGGAAAGTTAACAACAAATAGAGAACAACACATAAAGACTCGACAACACATGCATTGACTCAACTAACAATTCAAATAACAAAACTGGAAAACAATTAAACTAGAAAGCGGTAAAACCCTAAGTAATTAAACTAGAAAGCAATAAAGCTAAACCAGGAAGAAATAAATCTAAAGGAAAGCAATAGAGTTCCTCCTCCAACTTGAATTGAACATTGTGCTCAATGTTTTGATAAAAGTGGAAGAGAGGAAACCATAATCTGGCATATAGGGATCAATGCATGCCTCGACCTTGGCCTCCTCCTTGACCATAACCCCCACGGTTATGTGCGCCTCAACCATATCCACCACACACAAATCCACCAAGACCATTATATTCTTGTCTCTCACTCAACTAAACTTGCAAGCTAGCCAACTACTGAGATATGGAATCCATCCGATAATTATGGTTATCTTCAACTGGTTGCACAAACTAGAGGTGCTCTAGTATCTCTTGGTGGATATGCTCTATGGAAGTCTGCAATGCATGCATGGCAATATGTGAAACCTGCATGGATCACATTTGCTCCATCATCTCAAGTTGATGCGGATACATGGCATAGAATAGTGTGTCACGCTCAACATCGATGAAATTTTAAGAGAGCATCT